GATGATGATGATGATGATGATGATGATGATGATGATGATGATAGAAAGCAATGTAAGAATATTCTTGTATTTCCTACGTTTGAATGGCTGTAATAGGAATCTTGTTTATAGTACATCCATATAGTATGTGGCAGTTTTTGTTCTGTTTTGTTTGTCTGCACATTCTTACCAAAGTGAAAATAAAACCAAGTTACTGTTTCAATTTGCCGTTGGGTTTGAACTCAACCATGTGAAAAGCCAACTTGAACTTGCAAACTCTCACTTAGAGGGCCTGTTCCTTGATCCCAGAAGTCTGAGGGCAGGCTGTATTTCAGTGATAAAGAGTATGGCATATGCTAAGAGAGACTCACTTATTGCAAAGCACTGAAAGTTTGGAGGCTGTTAAGTTCTGACTAATGTAGCTTTACCATTGTTAATATGCCTAAGTCTGAAAATATTAAACACAAGATTCACCTTTTGCAGTTCATTTATATTATGGACTCCTTAAACTCCTTCAACATCTGTTTCATATTTTGGATGCAGAATAAGCAGAATTATTGTATCATGCCCTCTGTTGTCTTGGTGGGCATTTCCTGGATATCTTATTTATTTGACATCTGTAGCACAGTTTTTGTACATTCCTATACATGCATATTTAACTTCCTCAGAAAAAGAGAACAGAGAATTTACAAAGGAGTTATTGCTGCCTGTTAAGAGGCACTAACTTATAAAAACTCCACCATGGTATTTGAAATTGTATTTCTTTAGTTTGTTGACCTTAGACAGTGTGTGTCTTTGAATGTGTGTGTATGTGTGTGCATCTCGTTCCTTTGTCCTGATTATAGCGCACTTCTGCAGCCGCCATCCGTGTTGATCAGGATGGATTAATTTTAATCAAGGCAATTTTAAATCACAAAGAAAAACTGCTGATTTCAATCATATTTTTAACTTTTCAATTAATATATTTCCTGATCAGGCATGCCTATAATTGGTTGCTGTAACAATTAAACATGAATAAATAAGGGAATCTTCTGCATTAGTAAAGTTCTGTTTCATCTTAATAAAGGTGGCTTTTGGATTTATGCTGTGAGCCCATTTACCCACTAAGCCTGAAAGATGATGTATTCTGACTGGCAGCTGCACTCAGGTATGGGGTCTTTCCTAGTCCCATTGCCTGTAGTCTCTTTAACTGGACATGCTGGGAATTGAACCTGGGGTCGTCTGGTTGCAGAATTGATACTTTGTCCCTGAGTTGTGGTCTCTGTCTAAAACCTATCTCTTGGCAAGTAAGTGAGCCTTTATTTTATGCAAGAGCATAATCCAGAACCACTGGGGCTTGCATGTTTTTTTTTTTTAAAAAAGCAAATAATGTATTCACTCAAAGGAACAACTGTGAAATGAAGGTAACTCTCTTTACTGAAAAGTACACTAGGAAAGATTGATTAGCTTCCTTTTAAATGCCTTGAACTTTGCACAAT